GTTGATCCTAATATGGCTCATGTTTGGATTTACGCAGACATTATCACAATGAAAAATACCAAGATCATGGAGAGATTTAAAACACATAATCATTAAGCCCATAATGGTGACTGTGAAACAAACTGTGAGAGGAGTTTGAGCAAATTTTTATCCATGAGCTCTTCCCTATTAGGCTTTGTTGAGGTGGGGGGTTAGCATTTTCCATCTATGTACAGTCTGTGGCTGGAGGAGCCTTGTCCTTGTCTGTGTATCAAGGATTGAAATGAATTATGAAGCAGTTGGGGGTGAGAGTGGGCGAGTCTAGGGTAATCGCTGCTTCACTTGGAAAAGATGTCTCGCTCCTCAATTTAAACAGTAACTGACATTCACTTGAACCATCCATAAACATCTGCCCTGTAACTTGGCCTGGTCGGGCTGCTTTTTTCCATAATGCAACTTGGTGCGGTGAAGATCATGTACCTTTACACATATATCACCGCACTATCATTAAGCTGCCTGTTTTGTTTACAAAAGGGAGGGATGAGATTCAAGCAATTCAACATTTTTTCACAGGGGAAATCTTTATTATTTCAACTGAACGTTCGACAGACAGCAATGAAGAGCTGATGCATTATTCCGCAGAGGAGGGAGGAAAGTAAAAAGGATTTATTCTGTTAACTCACAGGATTAAGGTGCTCTGTGAGGAGAGCTGCACTCCAACTGAGCGCTCACTCTGAATGTTGATTCCACCCAGGTCAAATCGCCCACAGCACAAACGGATGAAATTGTAGTGCATTTGAGCAGAGAAATATTTTGCGTTTGGAGATTGCATCAACAAAGGACAATTTAAAGAAAAGATGCTTGGAAAAACTATAATTCAAGAATGCATTTCAAAATATGTTTAGGTTTAACAAGGGTTTAACTACAAGGTTAAATGTAAAAAAGGCATTACAAAAACAGACCATTGGAGCGATAATCAAACCACACTAATGTATGTGTAAGCCCTCAGTCGTACAGGGATTAGTCAAAGCAAAGGAAGGTTTCTCACCCATCATCTGTACTTCTTAGCAAGTTTTCCCGACGTTTCGTCCTCAAACCAGCGGACTTCTACAGGGAATGAATTCTCAGACCGCGTGTTGGAGACATCCTTGGACACCTAGGACACCTTTTTAGGATGTCGGCATCCTAAAAACAACGCCCTAACTTGGGACAAGGTCAGTGACATGCTAATGAGTTAGGGTCGTTAGCCTCAGCAGGGTCGTTAGACCTGCTCCCTTCTACATCAAACAGATTGTTCATGAGTTAGTATCAGGATTAGGTTATAAATCTCCGACGCGCGGTCTGAGAATTCATTCCCTGAAGAAGTCAGCTGGTTTGAGGACGAAACGTCGGGGAAAACTTGCTAAGAAGTACAGATGATGGGTGAGAAACCTTCCTTTGCTCTCACACTAATGTATCTCATGACCGAATACAACCTGGATCTTAAGTGCAATATAATATATGCAAGGCAAAACCTACAATAAATCATACCTTAGGGAAACCAAACACACATAGAGCATGAAGAAAGGGCAAGAGTGTGAATAAGATCAGAGAGAGAAAAAGCAACACAGGAAATTCTCAAATCTGCAATATCGGACCACTGCAAAAGGTAAAATCACATCTGGGATCATACAAACATGCAAAAACAAATACAAAAGATGGGAGGCCACCAACAGAGACCAGGGGGGCCTTCACCTTGGCTCACACTTGGGACTCACTTCTCCAGGGACCACAGCGAGGCAGAGGGATGATCCATCTGACAGATCCGCTAACAACAGCTGATAAGGGACACATCATAGCATCACACCTCACCTCTGACCAAGCAGAAGCTTCCTGTTGAAACATGCCTGAATATGAATAGACACTATACTGATTCACAACAAAGAAACGTCTAACATTATTATAGAAAATAAAAAGATGCTTTGATAAGACTCCCAACAGACACAGGGACATTTAGTTCTCTGAGAAGGACATTGCGTTACTTACAAAACTGCTCCTTTGGTGATTTTTTTTTAACTGTTGTTACAATGTCTGATAGATTTCAATGTATAATTCCACTCAGCCATTTCACAATAGTTTATGTTCAATGTTAACTTCGATAGCACAACACAGCATCTCCCTGGCCTAGACAAAGAAATCAAGAAAAAGATAAAACTTTCCGTACTAACACAAACTGCTGGACATCGGCCTTTCAGTTTTCCAGACATCCACCCCTACTCTCAAATAAAATCTTAAACTTCCTCCATATTTCTGCATAGTCCAACTGCATTTGTATTTTGTGGCGCCCTCTGCAGGCTGCATGTGAAAGCCTGATTCGTCAGATCTCAGCTGAACTTGACAAGTGCTATGGCTTATATAGGAGCTAATAATGACATATGACAATGGATACAGCAGGTGATGAATGCTGCCTGCGCTGGATTTCTTCAAAGTGTTTTCCCCGACTTTTCCCTGACATTTTGGGTTAACGCACAAAGAACAGAGGAGATGGAGGATGCTATTTTTCACCGATGCAGGAATGATGAAGTGAGGTGAAAGTTTGGGAGGAGAGGGAAAGAGCAGAGGAGAAGCCTGTGATTGTTTATTGATTATTTGGAGGTGCTCAAACAAGCCGTGGGAAAATATGGGCTAAAAAAGAACAGGAATGTACTGATTTCAGATGTTGAAAAAAAAACACAAAAAAAACATAAACACTTAAAAGCTTGCTGAGGGCCACAAGTTTTTTTTATACTTTTATACCAAGGTCTCTATTTACTGAGTGAAATTGTGTTTAAAGCTCATCTTTCACGTCAGTGTTTCTTTGAATAAATGTGTATTTTTTTATGATCTTGTCTTGTAGCTTTTTCTGAACAGAATTACCGTAATTTTTTTTGGACAAACTAACATCCATGCTGGACTATGAGTGTCGCCCCCTGCAGGACACGCTCTCGGTTCTGGAGAGCAGTTTCAGTGACAGACTTATTCACCCTTGATGTGTGAAGGAGGTTCAGGTTATTCAAATATTAATATGAAATATAATCATTTGCAGTCAGTCTGCCAATTTGGAGCAAAATGCAGGATTTTTTTGGAAGACGATAATAGAGCATGCCTTAACAATGAATCAGGTGAACATGATTAAATACTGTAAAAACATGTTGGCCATATCTGAACAACTGTTTACTTATAAAAGAGTTTAAGTCACAATATTGCGTTTAGGGCTGATAGCTTTGAATATATACAGTCCAGTTCGGAGTTGCAAAACACTGAATACCAGCTTTAAAGAATATTTTCTCATGTAATTCGTTACTTGATCTAATTAGTACTGTATTTGAATTACTTTGCTGTGATGGATTTTGCACCATTGCTATGCATTCGTTCTTATTGCTTATTTGAAGATAATTTCACACACTTGCATACATCCCGAATAGACACATTATCATTTGTTTATGTGTGAAATCTTCTGAAACGTAAATGCAGTCTGATATACCGTCATTAACATGTGCATTCATAAATAAACCTTTTTGAAACTACTTTGAAACTCGTGCTTTGTCCACTTACTTTTTATGTTAATAACTTTGAACTCAGATATCTTGGACTTAATGCACAATCAGCCTGAAGCTCCAAATGGATAGATGATTTTTTTGTGACTAGGACCAGAGCAGGTGCGAGTTTGCTTTCAGGCAGGTGACTCGGCCCCACTTTGAACCACAGAAATGAGCTGATTTTATGGATACCGCCAGAGCCTTAATTGTTATGGGCAGACACGCATTCTCCAAAAGCATGTCGGATTCAGACGAGGGCTGCAGCAAGCGCAAGATCACAAATGCACCAAGGCAGGGTATTAGAATCAAATCAAATTTCAAATACGATGGATATTGGAAACATTTCAACGTTTCCCTGGAGATGCACTGGATTTTAATATTGAGAGAAATTACTCTGCAACATATTGAGAGGTGGTCCTGTAGTTTAGATTAGACAATATTGGATAGATTTGATGTGTTTTAATTCAATTTATAAAAGTTTTCACTTCTCATCTCCTACTTGTAAAGGTGACATTTTGGTAAAAAAAAAAAATCAGACCACTACATGACTAAGAAAACATGTTATTCTTTGCATATTTAGACAACTAGAAATTATTTTCCGAATCAATAATTTTAAGTCTGTTGAATAAAGGTTTTTTTTATTCATTAATTTTACCTTACCAAAAGCAATGCCACTCACTTTAATTACTCAGGTCACAAAAAAGTGTAAGTACACAAATTATTTCTTGTTAGGACAAAGTATAAAACAATTCTAAACTTTTTGATTTAGAAAGTATAAATTGTAGAACCTTTTAAATCATTTAATCGTATTGACTCTGGAGCATGGGTGTCAAACTTGTCTCAGTCAGAAGCCAAATTGAAGAAACTGAAAGCTTTCTGTGGGCCACAAGGTCTTTTTATACCAAGGTCTCCATTTACTGAGCGAAAATGTGTTTAAAGCTCATCTTTCACGTCGGTGCTTTATTGGTATACATGTTTTTTACCATCTTGTTTTTTCAGAACCAAATTATTGTAATTCATTTTCATTTGGATATAACCACAACTGGACCAAAGGTAAAGAAGAATTGTTAATGTAGACCCATTTTTATTAATATTTTTGGTTCTAGAATATATGAAATGGGTTTTTTCCCGTACAGCAATGCTAATAACAGTAATTGCCATCAAAGTTTTGAAAATCCTTTCAGGCCGACTAAAATGGGTTTAGTCATTCTGATTCTAGGCTCACATCCTGATAATGAAGCACCACCAACACCTAAAACAGGTTAGAACAAGAGCACATTTATTTCCATGTCAATTTTTGCTGCCGTCCTTGAAAACGAAATCCAAAATGAACAGGAAAAAACAAAATCCTCAGAGTCATTGATACGTGCAGAGCTGTGTTTAAACTGGACGTCCTCAGGGGCAAGTGATGCAACAGCAGCAGCGTGTGAGGCCAAACAAAGTGTCTGTTTAGAGGGCATTGGCTCAGCTCTCGTCAGCCTCCAGGTTAATATTGGTTCCAAATTTGGCATAAAGTTGGACCTTCAAGTCGCCCAGAAGCTGCTGAATGGACGAGACGCGCCCCTCCAAAGTGCTGACCTCCTGCTCCAGCGTTTCCTGCAAAACACAATCAGATTATGAGGATGCGTCTGCGAGGCGGGCCACGTTGTATCGTCAGTGATGTGGTTATGGGGCAAAAAGGTGGGAGATGCTTCGGGAAGGCATCGGAAATATCATGGCCAACATACAGTAGGTGGTCTATCTCTTTGAATATAAAGGAGCTTGTGTGGATTTTTGTTCTTCTTTTTAGAATAAACAAAAATGTAAAAACTAGGGCTGTCAAACGATTAAATTTTGTAATCGAGTTAATTACAGCTTAAAAATTAATCGTATTTAATCGCATTTTGAACCATTGGCAAAATTATGCCATATTTTTCTGTAAATGTTTGACTGGTTGTTGGTAGAGCTGAGGGCGACAGTAGCTCAGTTGGTAGAGCATTGGCCTTTGAGCTTGAAGGTCGTGGGTTCGAGCACACCTACTTCACGACTCCCACTGATGACTGCTGTCGTTGTGTCCTTGGGCAAGACACTTAACCCTACTTTGCCCAAAGCCCCAACTGAAAGATCTCAGCTCCTGTGGACTCACCACCTGCAGGAGGATCAGTGAGGGGCTGGTGCTATGTGTACTGGGTGCAGCTCTGACTGCCACCCCCGACCCAGAAATGGATTAATTTTTTGTCAAATTACATAGTGGGACACAATCGTGAAGTGGTACGAAATTTATTGGATAATTTAAACTTTAACAAATAAAAAACTGAAAAGTGGGGAGTGCAATATTATTTGGCCCCTTTACTTTCAGTGCAGCAAACTCACTCCAGAAGTTCAGTGAGGATCTTTGAATGATCCAATGTTGTCCTAAATGACTGATGATGATAAATAGAATGCACCTGTGTGTAATCAAGTCTCCGTATAAATGCACCTGCTCTTTGATAGTCTCAGGGTTCTGTTTAAAGCGCAGAGAGAACCATGAAGACAAGGAACACACCAGGCAGGTCCGAGATACTGTTGTGGAGAAGTTTAAAGCCGGATTTGGATACAAAAAGATTTCCCAAGCGTTAAACATCTCAAGGAGCACTGTGCAAGCAATTATATTGAAATGGAAGGAGTGTCAGACCACTGCAAATCTACCAAGGCCCGGCCGTCTCTCCAAACTTTCATCTCAAACAAGGAGAAGACTGATAAGAGATGCAGTCAAGAGGCCCATGATCACTCTGGATGAACTGCAGATAACTATAGCTGAGGTGGGAGAGTCTGTCCATAGGACAACAATCAGTCGTGCACTGCACAAATCTGGCCTTTATGGAAGAGTGGCAAGAAGAAAGCCATTTCTCAAAGATATCCATAAAAAGTCTCGTTTAAAGTTTGCCACAAGCCACCTGGGAGACACACCAAACATGTGGAAGAAGGTGCTCTGGTCTGATGAAACCAAAATCGAACTTTTTGGCCACAAGGCAAAACGATATGTTTGGCGTAAAAGCAACACAGCTCATCACCCTGAACACACCATCCCCACTGTCAAACATGGTGGTGGCAGCATCATGGTTTGGGCCTGCTTTTCTTCAGCAGGGACAGGGAAGATGGCTAAAATTGATGGGAAGATGGATGGAGCCAAATACAGGACCATTCTGGAAGAAAACCTGTTGGAGTCTGCAAAAGACCTGAGACTGGGACAGAGATTTATCTTCCAACAGGACAATGATCCAAAACATAAAGCCACATCTACAATGGAATGGTTCACAAATAGACGTATCCAGGTGTTAGAATGGCCAAGTCAAAGTCCAGACCTGAATCCAATCGAGAATCTGTGGAAAGAGCTGAAGACTGCTGTTCACAAACGCTTTCCATCCAACCTCACTGAGCACGAGCTGTTTTGCAAGGAAGAACGGGCAAGAATTCCAGTCTCTCGATGTGAAAAAATGATAGACATACCCCAAGCGACTTGCAGCTGTAATTGCAGCAAAAGGTGGCGCTACAAAAGTATTTGCGCAAGGGGGCCGAATAATATTGCACGCTCCACTTTTCAGTTTATTTGTTAAAAAAGTTTAAATTATCCAATACATTTCGTTCCACTTCACGATTGTGTCCCACATCTTTATGTTTGAAGCCTGAAGGGGTGAAATGTTGAAAGGTTCAAGGGGGCCGAATACTTTCGCAAGGCACTGTAAGTGTTACTATGGGATGCATGGGCGGGTCACTCGCCTATGCATCCCATGTAAAAGCGTTCATTTTTTAAAACAAGATTAATGAAAAAAATGTACGCGTGTTAACGCCATAATTTTTAAAAACATTACCAATGACCAATAGTGGATCTGACTTTCCCAAAGCCTTTTTTGGAACTATATGGATTTTACATCATGACCTTGCAATGTTCACCATATCCTTTATGAGGAGCCTCAGTCAAGTGCACTCATCTCTGAACAGAACACAGCCATGAGTGCTCAGACATGCGTCTGTCCGAGTGGGAATATTCAAAAGGCTTCAATTTATTAATGTAACAGGTTTTAATACGAGCTTGTGGCATCAATATTTATTTCTTTGCACTGCGAGGCTCCAGGAGAGAGATGGGCATGTGAAAGTCAGGTGCCATCAGACCTCTGAAGCCAAGCAGGTGAGCACAGGTAGTGGAATTTGGTGAGTGTGGAATACATATTCAGCTTCCGAACCAGGGTTGTAGAAATTTAAAAGTCAAGACCGGTTTTGTTCTATTTTTCATAATTTTCAATTCTCTTATATAATAATTACGAGTATTGACTAAACTTTTACTGACTTTCCTTTCTTAAGCGGGTATGTTCTTACACAAAGCTGTAAGCGTACCTTGGCTGCCTCCAGCATCTCCTGCGTCTCGTCCTGCGAGTGACTGATGAAAACGTCCCCGATCTGAAACGGAACGAGCAGCGCGTCGTCGTCCAGCATCATGAGGTCATCACCCGCGTCCTGAAGGTTCTGGAGAGACTTCTGTGACAGACAACAGGCCACAATCACACTGATGGACCGTGGAGAAATGTTTAATATACTTGAGTTTCCTATCGATGAGACTTTGGTCATCCCACCAGTCTTAATTTGCCCAAACGTAAAACAAATAAACCAAAAATAATAGTAAATAAAAAAAAAACCCTAACAAAATTCCAATCATAATACAATCACTAAATTCTAACAATAATGGATTTTCTATAAAACAAGAAATTACGAGTAAACTCTTTTTTTTTTTTTAAGTTTCTGTTTAAATGTAAATATATTATAAATTACAAATTAATTGTAAGTCTTTCATAGTCCTTCCCAGATGGTCAAAGATTTTATTTTGGCGTAAATATTTGTTTCAGACTGTGTGTGTAAGTTGTATCTTATGACTTTAGGTTATAAATGTTAGTCTGCCATCTACTGGCAGCATAAGGACTCTCACATGATAAAGCGATCAGTCATTTTGTCCGGGAAAATAGCATGGATCTATTGGAAAAATAGTAGTCACTCCATTGATGGAAGGCAAAGAATCAGATGTTTCCCACCAATCAGATTCGCAGGGTGCACTCAATGCTGCCTGATATTGTGTTGGTATTGAATCATATCAATCGAAAGCTGGAACTAATAATAAATAAATAATTAATAGATTGTATGAGTATACATATGCAGGCCACTTTTGCATACTTGGTTTCAAGTAACAATAGACTAGAATACACATGTATAATATGAGTCCCATGGTCTTCAGGTTTAAGCAAAATAACTTGCCTTTTTTGCCTCTATTTCATTCTTGAGTTCTGTCATTCGACTAGTATTTCTGGCAAATTTGTTGATTTTCTGCTGGTCCTCAAAAGTGACGTTCACATCTTCAACAGCCTGAGTAAAAAGAGAAAAGAAACACATGTCCAAATATATAAGTACTGAGACAATATGTATAATTGAATACCATTGACAATATTGTATCTCTCGTATACAGGTCATATTTTACCTATGATGTATTAGGTACAAGTGAGCATGCGACACATTTGTTTGCATACACTCAAACAGTATAAGAATTGCTTTATTTAATACAATTTAATTAAACTGAAAATCTTTAAGGAGTGCTCTAAGCACAACATTTATAATGTGTAAGTGAACCACTTCAGACTCCCCAACAGCTGATTATCTTGTTTGTTTACACCAACCATACAACCTCACTGTAATACAATCACTAACACTAACTTATCGTATATCATAACCTTATAATAAACACATCCATACTAAAGACTGCAGCTAGCCTGTAATAGCCATGCTACATGCTAACATGAGCTGCACACGCACGAGGTTCTATTCAAAACCGATCCAACGAATTCCACTAGAATATATAAATTATGTATCTACATCTGTATCCTTCCCGAGCCGTGTGCTTAGTGTGAGAGGAGAACACAAGACAACTCAGTGTGTCTGATCTAAGGTTTGAAAAGATAATTTTACTCACCACAGTTCCCTTCATGGTGGCAGCCATTGTCACTCACGCCTACTAAGTAAACGTCCCTTTAGCGCCCTCTGCTGGCGCGTAGTGAACACTCACCTCCCACAGTGCAGCGATTGCCACCTGTCATTGTGTTCTTTGGCAAGACAGCTCCCTCAGATCTTGTGTGGGAATGGTTGTTGGTGGTTGTAGAGGCAAATGGTGCAGTTCTATGTTTTTGTCTGCTGTAGATGCTACAATCACACCACTAAACCTGTAAATCATGTCATATTATTAATATGATTAGGCTATTATTTAACGAGTCACCTAATGACAAACTTGGAAATAGTGTCGGCAAAAGTACAAATAATGTGTTTTTTGTTGTACTAAATCTATTTTCAAAATAGAAATATTTTTGCAGAGTTGATAAACTGCCATTATTAGTCACTTTATAGGATCAAATGTGCTTTGTTATTGTATTAAGCGGAACTCTATCCTCTGTAAATATTTTCTCATTACACAGGGCAGCACCCACTTTCAAATATTTACCCACATCTGTTCAGCCTGGGAATAAACCATAGCACACCTATATACCTGCCTGTGGTGAACAATTATTGATTGTAGCTATTACTTATGTGTAATAACACAAATAATCATTTGTCAATAATCATCTACCAATTAATATGGTAGTACAAGAGTCCCGTGTCATGAGTGTGTCCTGTCCCCTCTCACGGCCCCCAGCTGTGAAACAGGTTGTGCAGACCCCACATGGCTCCACTCTCATGAGCTCATCAGGGGACAGTAGTAGTAGTAGTAATCTTTATTTATATACCGCCTTTTCACTGCAGATCTGAGTCTCAAAGCGGTTTACAATTGTTAATTATGGGCATTTGTCTCTCACTCCACACAGAGATGGGAGCGGGGTCGCCAGTACAGGAGGCGCATGCCAGAACTATTGGACATATTTTTAGTGGTAGGGGAAACCGGAGTACCCGGAGGAAACCTACGCAGACACGGGGAGAACATGCAAACTCCACTCAGAAAGGACCTGGTCCGACCGGGATTCGAACCCAGGACCTTCTTGCTGAGAGGCGAGAGTGCTATGGATAGAAACACAGGCATCCCTTGTAATATTTTAAAACATCTGTACTTCAAAGGGCTGTGCCCAAAATTGAAAGATCCCCATTGCAATTGTTGGTTAGTCCCTACAAATCGACTGACTGCAATCATTGAAAAGGTTGTTATTTTTTCTTTCAAACTCACTGTTTTGGATAGATAATTGATCATGGGACAGAGTTTACCTCTCTTCATTCGCAATGTTTGGCTAAAGTATGTACAACATGAATTAATTAGTTACTGTGTTTGCTCGTAGGTTTGCACAAGTATAAACTATGACAATATGTCAAATACAATGACAGTGACAGTACAGTGTGTATTTTGCCTGAGGACACCATTCAAGTGTGTTTTACGTATAAAATACACTTCACAAGGCCATGGGCTACTCGACTGCCTCACCTGAAACAACCCACATATACTGTATGTCCCCATTCCCACGATCATGGACGATTCCCTGTGTTCACATGCAAAACTAGTGAAGTACCAGTGCTGCAGACTTTGCATGTAAATAGATGAGCCAACAGCACTGAGCAGGAGATGGTGATGACAATAGTGTGTAATGTTTGTAAAGTTATACGTGCAATAACATCATTCTAATGTTTATGTTATTTAAAAGTCTGTGTCTGTTGTGTGTTGAGCGAGACCTCTCCAAGAGATTTAGTTTAGTTAGGATAATTCATTTTCTTTTGGATAATAATTTAATTTCAATGCAATCCCATTTATTTTTGTATAGTCCTAGATTAAGGGTTTTGTGTGTCCTTATTTTTCTAATTAAATCTTGCAGAGGTTTGATAGATATAGAACTTAGTAACTTTTACACATTTGAGCAAAAATTTGATTTGGACTATTTTTCCCAAACTGCATCTGCCCATTCAAGCAGTTACTTCAAGAAGGGTAGAAGTCCCATAGTAGGGAGGTAAGGATAGATCTTATAGAATATAATACAATAATTTTTTTTAGCTCATTAGTTTATTAAAACGATGGCCTATAACTTTGTTCTACTGTCTTACAATAGATTTTATATTTTGAGGTAACGTCACACTTCCTGTTCCACCCAACTCTGAAGAACATTCCTTAAAACACATTTTTAATTCTGTTGCTACTAAAATTACAGCTATGATGCGTTGGTCGTCCACAGAGATTACTTGAGGTCTGAACCCTCCCACCGCCCTGTGCCATACGCTACAATGGCCTTTTGTGCCAATGCATTCTTCACATTTAGACAAGAAAACTCCAGCGAATAATAAATGCAATGTATCTATGACACAGTTTTGGCCATGTTTAGGTGTGTGTGTGTGTGAGTAAGGATTACTACTGCAACAACACATACTCAGTAGGGTAAAACTACTAGTAAGTAAGTTAAGGGAAGTTCTTTTGTTTGAGTGCAAATACTTTGTTTGAGCAATGGTTTGAGGTGAATGGAGCCATTAAAGCAGTGATCAAAAACATAAAAGAACAGATCATGATGGTCACTGTGCCATGTGGTGTTATTTACACTGATTAAAGGCAGTGTGTGTGAAGATTGATCCAAAGACACAAGTGAAAGCCGCCAATCACTTATAAACTAGAGGGATTATATGCAGTTTGAGATTTCATAACACTTTTAAGCAACTTTTGTTAAAGTTAAACTCATCAATCTATCAATGTGCAGAAGCCAGTACTTTTCCCTTGTTGTGTCTATCTGAAGGCCAAGCTACAAGCACAACGTGGAAGCTGCTGATTGGAGGTCTCCATGCCTCCGCTCTGTATAATACACTTGCATTCTATTGTATCTGTGATCGTGTGCTTTGTTCGTGCTGTCTCTACCATCGACAATAAAACATGTCTTCTGTCTGAATTTAAGACGCGATCCCAGACTATGTCATCTTCTTCAGGTGGTGGAGGATGCGGGCCTTGTCTGTAACATCTACAGAACAGAAGACCTTTTTTTTTTTTACACAAAAAGTGTTTTTTTTTTTAAGCCAAAACTGAGAAACCTCAAGAGAAACCATGCATCTGGATCAGCACATGGACAATCTGCACAGCCCCTGATTCCAGTCAGGCTGTGAGCTGCTGAGACATGGACAATACCATCGTCCTCTTTTGCATGGACACCATTTGGAACCATTGGATTTCTGAATTTGGACATAATTTGGACTGAATTGGATTGCTGAATCTGGACACTGAAGCTGAAACGTGTGATTGAAAGACACGTCACAGAAGAATTCATGGCTCGACACAACAAATGCAGCCTGAAGAAACCAACACGGAGAAGTGGGAGAGACTGTTTTCAAAGCAATATCTGGAACCATCGACTGATGAAGTTTGGTATTTTACTGAAGATTGTTGACAAGTTTTATGAAAGATCTAAAAATGTTTTATGAGTTTTCTGAGTTTTTTGAAGTACCGAGTGAAGTACCAAGTTTGAGTTTTTGAAGTATTGAGTTATGATGTTATGTTGCTGTTTATCGATCCTGATGGTCACAGGTGAATGTATGACCAGAGGGGGGAATTTGAGATTTCATAACACTTTTAAGCAACTTTTGTTAAAGTTAAACTCATCAATCTATCAATGTGCAGAAGCCAGTACTTTTCCCTTGTTTTGTCTATCTGAAGGCCAAGCTACAAGCACACCGTGGAAGCTGCTGATTGGAGGTCTCCATGCCTCCGCTCTGTATAATACACTTGCATTCTCTTGTATCTGTGATCGTGTGTTCGTGCTCGTGCTGTCTCTACCATCGACAATAAAACATGTCTTCTGTCTGAATTTAAGACGCGATCCCAGACATGTCATCTTCTTCAGCAGGACTGCAGCTATTATTATGATCAAGATTTTCATTACAATTGTGGTTCTCTCGTCCAGTGTTCCCCAACCTTTTTGAGCCATGGCACAACTTTTTCACCACCTGCTGAATCTGATACAAATTCATTCTAGCCTTCATTAACAAGGCAAAGTTATTCTTATCAAAGCGTATAATTTTCACATTGTTTGACCAATGAAGTGATATTGGATGGTTTCCAAAGGCACACTAACGTACCACGGCACAGTAGTTGAAAAACACTGATCTCGAATATTTTTAATTTCTAGGGATAAAACAACTTTGACAACAACTGTGAATATTCTTTAGAAGCCTGTTGCCCTCGTATTTTAACCTTCATTTAGTTGATGGATGGATGCAATTATGTTAAAACTGACCTCGTCATTACAACAGTCTGCAGAAGTCACTGATTTTTTACTTGATGTTTTGTTTATCTGAAGGTTGAAGCTAACACGGCTATTGGCGCTGTGGCAGATGCTGAGAGGAGTGTACTTGATTTGTCTGTACCACATAAACACGGGCATTTTCTTCTTTGTAAATGTTCTCTATATACATACAAAATCAATAATTGACTAAAATAGATAGTCCAAGCGTAGGTAGTCCAATTCAGGACTATTAATTAACTTGAATTGTCTTGTCTACTGTAAGTAATGTTTTCATATGCAGAAGAAATACATTATTAAATACTTGTGTTCAATCTTGCAAATCTCTTCAATACACATAGTTGTGTCCATACTGTAAAAGAGGGTTAAAACAAGTTTTTTTCTTAAATTAATATTCACACTTTTTGAAACCTTTTTGAAACTAATGAATGGAGTAAATATCATGACTGAAGGCTTTTAAGATACAATGTGTGAGTGAGGAATATGATAATGTGGGATAAAAATGTTGTTATATGACATTTAGAATGAGAGAAAGTAAAACTATTAACAACAATGTCATACAGAATACAGAACATAAGTGACATAAACAAGGAGTAACATAAATAATTCTTGTCATATATTCAGAAAACCCCTGCTAACAACTATGCTGAGGTGCCAACCTACTGAAATAGTGAAGTTGATAAACTAATACATAGAAGGTAAATCCAATCAAAATATTGATTTAATATACTTTTAGCACTGGTTTCTTCTACTGTTTAGATCTTGGCAAAGGATACATAAATGATCTCTTAATCTTTATCTTTCACACCTAAAGGGATAAATAAATCCATGTTATAAATCTGTGGATGTAAGTTAATATGACGTTTCTAACGCTGCATGTAACAGCTTCTGTAATGAGAGAAAAACAAAATAAATCCCTCCCCCTCATTGCCTTGATGAATGTCCAGAGACTTGTGGAGGCCTCTTGCATTGAGTGACACACCTTAAACCCATCAGTGGACCGTCGTCAGTCCAGGTTGTGTATTGCAGTGTGACCCGCCCCTGTGTACGGCTTTACCTTTAAATTCAGAGTAAGTGAACATTGATGGAGCAGACGGCCAAAGGGACACATCTCTGGAAGCACTTCTCTTTATTTACCTAAGGAGGAGTAAACACGACTGCAGGTAAAACACTGCTCTAATGTCAACTGCATTATTCTGCCAATGTGGAAGCTGTAATCCTTTTCTTTCTTTCATGACTTTAGAGCTGAAATCTGAAACTCTGCTCGCTGCAAAATGGGGAATTTCATTTCAAACGACAATGAAAGTGTCCAGGTAAGATTGACCTAAAACTGCTTTGCAATGTATGAAAACATCCAGCTTGAAATGGATTGAATTGCATTGACATTTTATAATATTTGATGATTTGAAGTCGACATATAGGACTTGTTACAATATAATAAAACATATTTTTTGTCAAACCATCTTATAACAGTATCTTATATTCTGACCGTACTGGCATAAAGTTATTGCTTGAAAAAATACTTGTTTGCATTATTGGTTAATTACTTGATTTAACACTAATCTCAATGATGGACATTGGCAATACAAATGATGTTTTTTTTTTTTTTTAATGGGTATAAAAGGATCTGTTTTTGGTTTTCGAGAGTACACACTTGATCTAATGTCTTTTTATGCTGTTCGAAAATGGGATATTGTGCTGAAATATTTGTATTCTTCTCTTTTGCAGACAGATGGAAGTATCCCTGAGAAGCATGAAAATGGAGCCGTGAATGGGATTTCTCTGACCGTCACTGCCAATGGACATACAGTGGACGGTAAGAACCAAAACAAACTGTATTTACATTTTGACACTTAAATTAATCGAAAAACCTGGGGAAATACAGATGATAAGGGAAAACAATGCAATGTACTAATAGTCTATAGAAACCAAACATAGCATCCTTCTTTGAGCCTTGTGTCTACATCCTGTTTTGGCCAGCGCAGCCGCAGTTGCACATGCTACAGTGTCCACATAGGATTCGGCTGGTTTAATGCTGTGTAAACATTCATATTATAATATTATATCCATATGCACACAATTTGAGTTCTGCCTTCACAAAAGCATTGAGCCTGGAGAGCGTCCAAACTTGATATTGATTTTAGATTAAGACATTAGTCACATGTTATAATGGTGAGGACAAACCCATATTTACACAGGGAAGAACAGCATTTTTACATTTCTATGAGTAAATAGAGATGACTAATTCAAAGTAAAGCAACAAACCCGTAAATCCAGATTTTTCTGGGTCTGATACTGGCTGAATTTAAATTGAAAGCAGGATTTATGTCTTTCTAAACAGTCTGTCTCTGTCAGGCTGCTGCATTTGAATAGACTTTGGAACCACAATGGTACAGTGTGACTTGTAAATGCATGGGCCATTAATTAGCATGCACACACATCAGCACTTTCTGGGGTCAGCCACCAATCCTTGCAGATTCTACAATTTTGCAGCAAAGTTCTACAGTTTGGAATTACCTTTGTCAGGCTTAATGTATGAACACTGCTTGTTCCAGAGGCAATTCTTGTTTAAACACAATCAAAATGCTTGATATATCAATATCAGAGATGTTTAAAATATCACGGCAGCAAAACCGCACTGTGTCTACTTATCATTTCAACATGCTTATTCAGCTCGCAGCCAGGGGCCAAATCAGTGAGATCGGGCCCACAGCCCATCTACCAACTTACAGAAGGTTGGGGTTAGTGCTGTTTTAAAGATGAATTTATCTGGGGTACGGGCAATATTTGTTTTTTTAACCTGTCCTGTATGGTACTCTTAATCTGGTTAGTTCAGATGATTGGTACAAATTCAATCTTCCCCAGGGCAGCTGTGGCTACAGTAGCAGTTTATCACAACTGTGTACCGAGTAATGTCATGTCCAAAACATCTTTTGGCATTTTATTTGTGACATAAAACGGTGCTAAAAGTGCATGTTAAACAGGCCCAATGTGAAGTTAAATAGCTGGCTTTATAACTAGGTTTGTCTGAACATGTACAGTATGTTTTGAGTCTGAATTTGAGGAGTGTAATTAAATTTATGTTGTGCAAAAATGTTATGTATGTATGTATATCTGTATGTTTTTATACATTTGTATTGTAACCATCTAAAACAGATTTTTTTTTCCTGTTGTAGTTCCTGCAAAGATTCTGATACCTGAGATTGTAGATTCCACATTACCAGAAATACAAAGCATCACCACAGAAGCCATCCCAGTGGAACCAAAGAGTGGACCACCTGATGCTGAAATCACGCCTCCAGACCCAAGCCACACCGTCCACACTGAGGAGAAACCTGAGGATTCTGATGGCCACAGTAAAGTCCAGAATAAAGAGCAGAAAACCAGTGTGTTCAGAAAAATGTTCAAGACCAAACCAGCCCCTGCACCAGAGCAAACACCAGATCAGACGACTGCCAACACACCGCTGCCCGTGAGTTTATTGACACATCTAGATTATAGTGAATGATTTGAACAGGATTTAATCCTGTTTCTAGAGCCATGTCCACCTGTCACATCAATAGCATTCATAAGTATTTGTTTAGCCATTACAGCAAAACCACTTATAAGCAAACCGAAGGGAATCAGTTTGGATTACACCTGCAGCAGAGTAGAGACATGTGGATCTCCTTATGTGTGTGCGATACATATCGTCACTGTGTGACGATTGACACACAAGACAATGTGTGTCAATTTTTTCATTCAAGTCTCTCTTCTACATCCCTCAAAAAATTCTAAAGAGGAAACATGAAAATGTACAAATAAACGTCAGTGAAAATTACAAAAAGAGTAAATTAATTTTACTACTTGTTGGATTATTATTATGACGCGCATCTGTATTAATTACTAGCTACATTTGAAGAGAAAATAAATGCTGTTTCAGGATTCGTGTGTCGGTTTTCACCGACAGTGGATGGAGGAAAACTATTAGACGATAACTGTTTCAACGGTTTTTGTACCCCACTGCTTTAACAAAATATAAATACATACATACAGGCATCACTATAAAGGCCGCAGCAAAAGTAGCAAAAATAGCCGCTTATAGTCCTGCAAGTACTGTGTATACCTGAAGTAACCTGTAGTGGTCAACTAGTCAGTTACTCCAAATGTTGTAGCCCCACTATTTGACCTTATCACCTAGAAGCAAAATAAAACATACATGTCACGTTATCTCATTTATTTTCACTTTCTATTAGAATGGACTTATTCATGGGGAGAAAGAAAATGGAGTTATTAATGAATCTTCACCGAAGGAATCTGAAATGGAAGGTAGGTGTCCTCTATACTAAAAGTAAAAAAGAAAAGAAACATTCAACAGTGTGTATGTATTATTACAGAAAATGACTAATCCATTTGCATTATTTAGGGGTGAATGAAATGTGATATTATTTTCATTTTCTAAAGTGGAACCTACAAACACAGAGGAGATTGGTGTCCAGGCTGAAACGACAGAATCAACAGAATTTGTGGTTGCTGAATCAGAGGAGAAACCTGTGAGCTCTCCCAGTGCAAAAGTCCTACGCCCGGCGAGGAAAGTCAGTGTGTTCAGCAAGATGTTTAAGAAGCAACAACCACCAGCATCACCACCACCAGCAGCACCAGAACCACCAGCACCAGAACCAGCAGCACCAGTAGAGGAGGAGCCAAAAGAAGAACTCATTGAAGATCAGAGTGACCCAAGTCCCCCTGTTCCTGTGCAACAACCGGTGAGAGCATGACTAAAGTATTCTAATATATTTAACCCTGCATGAGCCTGTTTAGGCAATAACATCTTATCTTCAAAGCACTATACACTGTCTATAGAGCTCTGCATTGGTACGGCCTTTGGAATGGCCTTATAGTTGCATGAATGTTGGATTTATTATACACTAATAACTGGTTCAATGCAAAATATGAGGTCAAAATTGTTGGAATCGAGTGGTTTTTTTTTAAAAATTTGAATATATTCTGTCTGTCTTAAAACAAGATTAGCCAATGGGACGAAGCCGTTTCGTCTTATTTCAAGAATTGTTGTGTTGTTTTCTCATTCCAAGGGAAACATTTCACAATATCATTTTGCTTGTCCCATTGACAAATCTTGTTTTAAGGCAGTCATAACCTGCTCAAATTAAGATACATTTTTAGAATTTTTTTTTGCATCACTCTTTGCAGTGTTGTTCTCATATAGATTTTTTTTGTTGGCTTTTTTTATTTTGATTTTGAATGTCCATGTTGTAATGGTAAACTCGTAATTATCTTTAAACTGATAGATCGCAGAGGTGAGGAAAGAACATTTATGATTGGCTATTGTTACACCATTGTGAGTGTAGTCTATTACAGATGTGTAGTTTTTGTGCAGAGCCAAGATGAAAGTATCATGATATATGTTTTAGATCATTGGTTGTGCTCATGTTGTAAAGTTCTATTTAAGTATTTGGGAAAACAGCATATTTTGAAAGAAAATGTGGAAAAAAACAAAAAGTGTCTGAATGTTTCCCCAGAGGATTATTTAATTGTGATTAGATTCACAATCCCGCCATAAGTCCTCTCAACACATAATGCATGTTTCTGTCACCACTTCTAGACACCTTCATGAGAAAACAATTGATCATAGTTGATATGTACGGACGGAAGGAAGATGTGAAACTTTGTGACAGTTTTTGTTTCATGTGGATTGCCCCAGAGATTACGTCAAAAATAGCTCTTGAGAAGTTAGACTAGAAGTTGAACTAACATAGTTACCAAGAAGATTTTTCAGCTCCTCTCCACCACAATGTTAAACTAACTGTTGTCATGTCAAATGAACACAACGCATTTAGGTTCTTTGTGTTGGATTTTATGAATTTGCTTTTTAACTCCACATTTATAAATCTCCCTGAACACTTCTCTAACCCTAACCCTGAGAGTCTGAATTGCCTGTGCAAAACCATCTTCTTTTCATAATAACCATCTGAATGTTTTCCTAAACCATTAACCATGACTGCATACTAACAAAAGATTATTTCAAAAGTAATTTCAGTGATAGATTTGTGGTATAACATCCCAGGGTTCTTGTCCCACATCCAAATCAAACGTCCACTTAACTCTATCTGCAAATGTTTGGTTTCTATCATTAAGGATTCACCGTTCATCTGCGAAAGCGTCTCTTCAGCGTTCATCTGCGAAAGCGTCTCTTCAGCGTTCATCTGCGAAAGCGTCTCTTCAGCGTTCATCTGCCAAAACGTCTCTTCAGCGTTCACCGAGAGAAACCAAGACCAGAGAGAAATTGGAGCCACAAAACCAATGGACATCTACAGCCTCAAGACTCCTTCTATTGTTATACCACCAGAATCACCAACAAGTTCTGAAGATTGGATCATTATTTCAGATTCAGAAGAGGAAGTGGGGTTACTCAGCGAAGCTTGTTCCCTCATTCACGACACCACTCTTTCACAAATGGATTTAGATCAACAGGAGGTTATGAAATTTGCAGACTTCTGTGATGGACCTGGATACACAAGCACCCTCCCAAGAGTTGTAATGGATTGCTTGAAGGTAGTGTTTGCCGATGAATACGAACTTGAAGAAAGTTTGAGAGCCACAGCGAAACCCATCGAGATCGAAAACCACGGCGATACTATGGAAGACGCACCTCTATATTGGGATGAAAATGACCCAATGCAAAAATTCCGATTTCCAACCCGAGAAGGTGATCCGCGAAACGACTCCTCCGCGTTTTGGACGTCGGAGGATACGTACAAAATGGTGTGGTATCCAAGCGATGCGTTTGTGTTCATCCAAGAACCCAGACAACTGAGAAGAATTTACCAACTTGCAGAGAGATGCATGGAACACGACCGAGAAGCCAACGACACGTGGAATCCCGTGTAGAGGAAACGTAATTTAAATTCAGTAAAATTGAGGATAAGTATAAGCGCATGTGCCGACTGAGCCAATGTCTAGTGATGGGAGAAATTCAAGCTAAGTCAAATGTGAATATTTTTCTTCTTCTTAAGATCGTGATGTTAATATTTTGCAAATGAAAAAAAATATGGAAAAAAACGCTAAAACAAGCATGTGTTCATTATTTGAGTGAGAATTTTTTTGGGAGTGCAATAGATGTGGATTCTTGTAACATGTAATACAACTCAATGTCATTTTAATCTATGCTAGATTGATGTTAAAGTTAAAAGAATATAGAACATGCTGAGAATATTTGCACCTATTGCCTTTTGTTCAATATTTGTTTATTTTTTCTTGGCGTTTTGAGTTTTTTATTATAGGGCATTTAAGCTGATCACCTGATTGCCTTTTGCTCAATCTTTGTTATTTTTGAAAATCTATATTTGGATTAGAATTATATTATCTTCAAGCTGTGAATCCTTATAACACTGATCATATTTGTTCAATTGTTATAATGTTTTTGTTTACATCATTTTTGCAGTTTTTTTATTATTGCATGGGCTTCATATTGATAAAAATAAAGACTGTAACCATAGTGATTAAACAATAAAAAACATCTTTTTAGGGCAGAAAAGTCCACAAAATGTTTAAAGTGTCCCAGGAATCCGAAACCCGCGCATGCAATATCACACTGAGAATACTACGTTGCCTTTTGATCAATCTTTTTGTTATTACTTTTTACATGATGCTAAACTCAGGTCTCTTTGTACGACTGAAGGCGTATTACTTTATTTCTATTTTTTGACAATGTTCAAGTTTTTATCCTTGACTTGTTGTATCACGATGGTGAAGGAATCACCATGTGTTACTGTTAAAACTGAACTGTTTTTAGCGTGCATTGAATGTACTGCTTTAAATTGTTCATTACAAAATAAAACGTATGAGCAACATTTTCATCCTCATTTTTGTTTTAAAACACGTTTGCATGTGTTCACCTTTAAGATGTAAACCACAGCAATTTGAAATGTTTAGACTACACCGCAAAAAGTACAATTAGATTATTTAGAATAGTTTTAATCTTAGTGGCTTTTGACTAAATTAGTTGTATTTCTGATGAACCAATATTATCTTACCCATTTTTAGATTTTTTTCTGGAAACTTATTTAAGATTATTAAAAACTTTTGGTCAGAAAAAGATAAATCTTACGTTTGTTGTAGCTTCTCTTATAAACAGTAAATATTTCAGTTACATTCGCAAAATTACGGGCCGGGCTGGTCGTATCACAGCCGACCCCTCTCACCCTGCACATGGACTATTCCAACCACTCCCCTCAGGCAGGAGGCTGCGGTCCATCAGGACTAGAACCTCCCGCCACAAGAACAGTTTCTTCCCCTCTGCTGTTGGACTCTTGAACACATTTCTTAACCTGTCCCCCCGCCCTTTATAAAGTCACTTTACTGCCCATCATACGTCACTTTACTTCACTGTACTGCTGTCACCTCACATTGTGTGCACCATGTGCACTTGTATATTGTAAATAGTGTAACTGTAACTCTATTTTAAATTTGAATTTATTCCTTAGAAGTGTTTTTTTATTCTTTATTTTTATTATCTCTTTCTGACTGTTGCACTGAGCCAAAGCAATTTCCAAGTCTGTGACTTCCTGTTACTTACGTGGCAATAAAAATGATTCTGATTCTGATTCTGAAAATCTATCCCTCAAGAACACCACATCTGGAACCAACAAGTCGACTGGCGGCATGTCCGCCGAGAACATTTTTGAGCGATCTCACGCACTTTCCAGTTTCTAGTTCTTCCAGACCGACCATAAGAAGACAAAGCTTTTAATATGACCTGTAGCAATGTGCATCAGAACCATGTCAGAACAGAGACGCCGGACCATCCTCCTGAATGTAATGCTTAGTCCGGACAATACAAATACAGTATTATCAAGGTCTCCATGGCCTTCAATAGTTTGAATCTTTTTTCCTGAATATTCATGTTTGTCAGATTGGAGGCATGATTCCACAGCCCCTGATGCATTCTTCAATTCTTACACACTTTGTACTGTATACAGTGACCTTGCTTCTTTCAAAATGGTCCCCTACATATTTATTTATTAATTTATTAATTACTGTTATTGATTTAGGTAGTCCTCTATCTCTCATGAAGTTTCAGGGTCGTCTCTTTGTTTGTTTTTACTTTAATCAAGATACTGAAGTCTTCTACTTGAGGAAGGACCTTTCTATCTACCTGAAGATTTAGAAATTTGGAGATTTGGAGATGCAGATTTTCATTCCAGCCACTTCACACTCAGCTCAAACTGCCCCAGTGCAAGTTGAAGCAAGAGAGGCAGCATCATTCCAAAACAGCAGATATACAATCTTGTGACCCCCAAACCAAACTCCCTCTGGCCCCTGGCTGCACCGAGGAAAAAGTGAACAGAACTGGTGATAAAGGGCAGCTTTGTGGGGACCACACACAGCTTTGACTCCAGTCATACAGGAACTGGATGGCCCTCTCCTTGAGTATCCAATGAAGGATATAGAGATGTTCCGCGGCCAGGGCGGAAATAAAACACCGCTCGTCCGACACCAAGCCCGTATATCTTTTCTTGGTTGCATCTCTTTTGACTCATTTTATGTGACTGTGTGTGAGTATGTGTGGGTGTGTGCATATGTGTGTATGTGTGTATGCATACTTAATAATATGTGTGGTTTGGGGTGGGCCTGTTGGGTGACAGGGTGTTGGGGTCATGGGCATGTGGCAATGATTTTAACGAAACTGTAAAGCACTTTGAGTTGCATCTCTGTATGAAAAGTGCTTAATGAATAAACATTGATTGATTGAATTCGAAATTCGACTACCGGTCATAGTCTCCTCTCTTAATCGTGAACATTCTGGAGTATTGTGACCAGAGGATCAGTGATCACATCCTCACACAAAAAAACAACAGATGCATCCTGGGTTGGAATGTTTAGGCAGAGGTTCCAAGCTTGTTTTTTGTAAAGTCCAGGCATACTTTTTTTTCCTGACACCACGGCCTAAATGCACAATTTGCACTGCACACCTGAACTGCACACTCAGCTCTATGGCTACGCTGCTGTTGTGGTGCTACACTCTGTGGCGGTGGTAGTGCTTTCAAGCCGAACTCGCGAGACACGAGTTGTAACAGTAATTGTATAAATAAACAGGGAAAAGGGCAATTCGATCGTCCGTACAGAAAGGCCCCTCCGCTGGCCACTGTGTAAGACACCCCTTAGTGGAACGATTGCACGCGTGAGTCACAATTTTTTAGCCAGCAGTCTGTGAGGGTACATGTTTATGCACAGACAAGTAACTTTATGTTGATTTCTATTATCAAATATACTCTCGAAAAGTGTCATAGTATGGAACAGGAACAAAGTTATATCAAGCAACATATGACATGTTCTGTGTGACTGGGGAACTCGTTGTTTGGGTGTGAATGCCAATAAATAACCACTGCAAACTATTCAAAAAAAGTCATAACTTATGTGAGATATTTCTTTATTACAGAGGGTTATTCATTCAATAATTTTATGTTTCCAACAAAAGCCACTTCAAAAACTTGATGCTATGGTATTTCTCAGAGCATAACTCTCTTACATTGTTGAATATCAATGAGTGACGTTGATAAAAGGGTGATTGTTGGAGATGGGGCGTGTGGGCAGCGGCATGGATGGAATTGTGAAACCCTTTCAAAGCTGCGTTCAATATCCTCACAGCTCAGACCAACCCCGCAACGCTAACATATGCCTTTAAATTAACATTTTTCTAATGTATGTATAGGAGAGTGAAGAGCAAACGGCAGAGACCGAGGTTGAGGAAGGAGATTCTGAGCCCAAAGATCCAGAAAGTGACAGAGGAACCCAGGACAGCCCTGCGGAAGAGAATCCAGTTATGAACTTCTTCAAAACTCTAGTAAGTGATCAACTTACTCACTTTAATGTCTATTCATGTTATACTTTACACCGCATACAGCAATTTCTAATCTAGTGTGAATCTAGGTCATTGAATTGATGTAATAATGATTTTTGAAATATGTTGAGTATTTGACTTATAAATTATCAACCAATAGAGCATCTCAAACTGAAGAAATCATCTTAGAAAACATAAACAAGGGGGGAGAGTATACATATCGCTTATATATCTGAATATAAGCGAATATGTAATTAGAAACATTTTTTGTATGTAATTCCTTTTTGATGCGTAGCAAGTACAGTTAGTCAAAGTCACAGACAAGGTTAAGAAATAGTATGACAGTAACGGAAGTCTAATGCATCAAAGCCATGAAGGAAATAGATTTCCCTTAAAATCCCATTTTGTCGGAACATATGCTTGGCACACAAATACAGTCAAAACTAAATAAGTTTCAGTCCTATGATTTTACTCATTCAATAAGGTAAATCCACTGACAGCCCTAGACATCTACATTAAATTGTAGTTTTTTTTTTTACATTTTGGCAATTGATCATTTGCTTTGATTTGTCTTAAAGTTTAATCATCTGTACAAACCAAAGAAACCTGATTTTTGAGAGTGATTTATCAAACCCATATCTAACAGCATTGTACGTTCTAAAACAAACATTAATAGTTTAATAGATATTGATCCTGTTTTTGAGCACATTGATGTGCATGTGGTAAAAGTACTCAAGATTAGGTTTTGGGACCAAAATAATGTACAATATTTGTTATTTGTATTAATTTTAAATCTAACCCCAGGAAATGTTGACTGCCAGGGGAGTTCGTCACTTGCACCGACAAATGAATAACCCAAAATAATTCATATGATCACAGAAATAAAAAATCAGTGGCCTTGACAGACCCACAACAATAGCTATTGTCACGCCTCTTCATTTCTTGTGGACTTTAAGGATGTAGCTGAAGCCTTAGCTGTGCTATCCCAGCCTTTGACCATGCTGCAGACTGCAGACTGTGTAGAAGCCTATTGTTCCGGCCCGATCCTGACCTCACAAACGAGCCCTGTGCTCCCTGTGATGGACATTTGTAAAGATGGAGCTGGCGGAGGCCTACGCTGTCTCCGGAGCACAAAGACTATTACACTCATACTGTAAGGTCTACTGTCTCACGTCTCACTGACTGCTCTGTGCTGCTGACTTTGGATTTTAAACACCTGTTTATTCCTATTTGACTGCATGCCTGTTTTGTCCAATAGATTGATATTATTTCCTTCTAGGATTAAAAATATATATTTATTGGACTTATTTATGGACATCCATATATCAGCTAGAATATCTTTATACTGTCACAGTATGTGCTTGTCTATTCCCGGTTTGTCCTCAGATATACCTTTTAAAGTTGTTTTGGCTCTTCCTGACAAATACATCATGTTTAACATTAATATTCAAAAAGGCCTAATATGATTCTTACGTTGACTAGATAAAAACTATGTAGATTTGAAACAAGAATACGCCATACTGTCCTTCTAATCAGCCAATATAGAACTAAAGTCATTGTGTAGGCTGCATTCTCTTTGCATCCGCTGGACCATGCTAAGAAAGGTTTATGAGTCTGCGGCAGCCATTACCCTGTACTGACCGGCACTCCCGGCTGGTCACAACACGCTCCACAAACTGATCCGCATTTGATGTTTTTGATATTGATGAATGACTGTTTTTTTTTGCTTTTACTTCGAAACATTCATTGGATCTGCAGTGATAGAATCATTTCCCTTATTAATAACCTTTAACAAAATGAAAACTTGTGCTAACCTGCAGTAGCACCTTGAGATGTGTGTGCATGTGTAAGGTGTGTTACAAACATTATAATCATTATTATTATTATTATTATTATAGCCAATTGTTCATGTGTCATGGAAACATGTTATGAATGTTAAGACATTGTTATGGGCTTTGGCAAATGTATTGAATGCCAGGTAGCTCATAATCAAGTTGCTCATAATCAAGTTAATTCATCATGTAAACTAATTAATGACTTTCATTGTTACTCTTTGTGTACCTATCAGGTCACTCCAACAAAAACGAGAAAAGATGCACAAGCTCCAGATGCCACAAAAGAACAGGTACCATGAATATTCACTATCCACACTTGAGATCATTTGAGCAGTTTATTGGCTGACGTTTGAAGACCCAAGGATTGTTTTGTATTTTCTAGTTGTAGTATTTAGTATGATTCTAAACTAACTGAATGTCTTTTGGAAAACCTTTACTTTTCATTGTATTTAAAATGTAGCTTCTTATTAATCTACTTATGTTTGAAGTTATTATATTATTCGAGAGCTACAAAGTCCAAGTAAGTTTCCTTGTGGATCAATAAGGTTTGGCTTAGCTCTTAGATCTGTCTATGATGTAAAATGATAGTTTCATGACATGTTGTCTCACAAGTCACGGTTACATGTACAAACACCTAAACCTGGGGCGTATAGATGTAACCATTCAAACAGTGAAAGGAGGAAGTACATATTTCATCGATCTAGCTTTGTCATTTGTCATTTAGTCTTTGACACATAGAGCAGCCTTTTACAAAATGTATTCACCCTGCACCTGGGCTTCACATGGGTCTATTTAGATGAAGCCCATGTGAAGTTGACAAGGTTTTATAACACATTTTAGTGTTTACCATACACTTTTGAAAGATACACAGACATTACAAGAAAAACCGTTAGTTTTATCTCGTGTGAATGAATTAATGGGACAGTAATTTGAAAATTACCAGATTTCCACAGATAATACTAATCCTGTGCAAATACGTTTTTGTCAATCATTACAATTAAACCATTTCCTCCAACAATCATTTTGACTAGTGGAAATGCTTTTTACCATATCACTTATTGCTGAGCCTTAATCTCCTCTCACTGCTTTCTCTTTATGTTGCACACCAGCCGCAGCCCTCAGAGACGCAGCCTCAAGCTACTACTACCACCACAGTGAGCCTGCCTTTACATACAGACACATACACATACATACTGTACATACAGTACACACACACCAAAGACTGTAAGTGGGTATGGACAATGCTAGCCCTCAAGCGTTGAGGCCTATTGGGGAAGTGCTCATAGGCAAAGGTGTCGTACTTGCATTGACTCCCATTCACTGATATTGAAAAATGAACTAATCTCACTCATACGGAGTGAGATTAGTTCATTTTTTGTGTCATACCTTTTTTGAGCTCTACAATCTGTGGTTTAACGCTTTGTATGATCCTGCCTGGTGTATTTTGAAAATGCTTTTGTAAATCCAGATATGACAATTGGCCAATGAGGAGCCTTCTGTCCCCAAACTAGGATGTGGCCAGTGAGAAGTGCACACTGCAATGTTTGGCTCTTTGGTTGCTAGATAATTGCTACACACAAATTTGGCTGACGTCAGCACGCTGCCAGTTCACATACATAAAAATTAGGGCTGTCAAACGATTACATTTTTTTAGTTGATTAATCGTACAGAAATGGTGAGTTAACTCACGATTAATCGCATTTTTAACATTCTATTTCAAATCCGCTTCAATTGAAGTTAAATGAGATTATCAAATATAATGACCCATTGCCATTCATACAAATGTACTTCAATCTGTTAGATTTGCTCACAACCAAAATGAGCTGTTAATGAAAGGGGGAAATTTACGTACCCCAGCTTTAATTCAGCGAGTTTAGTTTAGTTTCAGGAGGAGACACGGACACTTGGCCTGTGCACGCGCTGTATTTGTGAGCACAGGTTGCAAAGACACAAACACAGCATGCAGAGAGAATATTTCTGTGACGTGTTTGGTCTTTTATGACCATGTTACCGCGGAGCCATTCGCTCACAGCCGTGTTGTTGTTAGCGGCATTCTGAGTGATATTATGGATAAATGGGCGGGTCAAAAAACTTTTTAACGCGTTAATGAAAAATGTAATTAACGTGAGTTAACGCGGTGCTATGGTACAGCCCTAATACAAATACATACTGTACATACAAATACATATTGGGCCTCATTCACGAACGGTTCTTAGGAACAGATTTGTACGTAAATCCTACTTACGCGGTTTTTACGAAGAAAGTGGCATTCACGAATATTTCTCGTAACCAGAATTTCTCTTGGGCAAGTACAAATCCTACGAGTCCTCAGGAGCACTCGTACGCATTCAGTGCCGACATGTTCACACGCCGGGGTTGTCCTCTTTGGTGAAGTTGAATAAAAATACAACATTCCAGTGATATGTCCGTCATATCGATGTATGTATTTATTTATTTGTAGTAATCTTTATTAGTAATCTTTATTTATATACCGCCTTTTTCACTGCAGATCTGGCCTACTTTTTAATTCATTTTGAAATGAAATGTGCCAACGCTTTATCAAATACATTGGAAATCTTGCCGTGTATTAGTGACCCCTTCCTATTTATAGGGGGCATTTCTTTATCCACGGGCCACAGAACAACGGCATATATACTGCTGCTGCAGGAGGTTACTGGGTCCGCGCTGAGTCTCTGCGCTGGTCTCTCCTATGGATCTATACGGGTCTGCACTGGTCTATCCCATATACGGGTCTGCACTGGTCTCTCCCATGGCTCTATACTGGTCTGCACTGGTCTCTCCCATGGATCTAGACGGGTCTGCACTGGTCTATCCCATATACGGGTCTGCACTGGTCTCTCTCCATACGGGTCCGTGCTGCATGCTCCTGGATCCGGGTCCGCGCTGGTCTCTCAAGTCTGGTCTATGCGGTCTATCTTCGGTCCGCGCTGGTCTCTGCGCACCGGTCTCTCCAGTCTCACTACAGTCTATGCGGTCTCTCCTATAGGTCTGCGCTGGTTTCTGTGTGCTGGTCACTCCAGTCTCTCCTCGGGTCTGCATTGGTCTCAGTGCTGGTCCGCGCTGGATCTCCTCGCAGGGTCCAAAATATTTTGAGATTAATCTCAAAACATTTTGAGATTCATCTTTAAAATAATACATAATATATTTTTAAATTAAGCTCATAACATTTTGAGATTAATCTCATCATATTCTTAGATTAATCTCATAATTTTGCTAGTTCGACTTTATTATCATAATATTTCGACTTTTAAGTCAACATTTTATAACTTTATTCTCAGTCTGGTAAAAGAAGAAAAAAGGGTGACTCTTTTGCTCTGTGTAGCTCTTTGCTTTAGGCCTGTTGCTGTTTCCTCTGCCGTCTGCACACGGCCCTGCAGTCCCTTATATGGGCATTAATGGGCGGTTACTTATGCTAAGTACCTATGCTAATGAAGCACCTGGCACGCGCGCTGTACTTACGAGGAAATGGGATTCATCAATCTGAGAGAACAGCTGCGAACAATTCAGCGGTTTACGAGTGCGTTGATGAATCCCACGTGGGGACTTCTTAGAAATCTACTTAAGGACAACTTGAGAAGAAAGTTGAGTAGTTTCTTACGAAGTTATTCGTGAATGAGGCCCATTGTACATACAGACACATACAAATGCATACACAAACCCAGACAGTAGACATGCTTGGTGCTTTACGCTTCAATAACACTGCCTTTATATGAAAACTAACATGAGCAACCTTGACCAATATGTACACAAAACAAATTGAAGAAAGTTCAGTAGGTGATAGTAACAGACAGACTCCTGGTGGAGTTAAATAACTGACCAATGTTTTAGTTTTTCAGATTGGTCAATTGTCTATTTTAGTTTTTCGGCACTGGGGATCACATTTCTGTTTCATGGCTATTTTGGAGCCAGTGCACTTTCTTAAAAGATAGAGATACCATGTTGTAAATCAAATTGACAAACCTTTTTTCTTGCCTGGTTTTGGAGCAGGTTGCACAGGTATCTGACCCACAAGCGCCCCCTAAAGGAATGCCTGTGCCTCCACCTCCTCCTCCTGAACCGCCTCGAGTGGAAGCAGCTGCAAAAGCTGTGAAGCCCAAAGAAGAGGCCAAAACTAAGGACAGCCCAAAGGCCAAATCAGCCAAAGGGACTCTGACACGACTCTTCAAGTCTAAGGTGAGGAACATTCATTCATTTTATCATGTCTATCCTCCAGATTCAAGCTGGAACTAAAAAATACCTATTCAGAAATAACTACCATTGAGTTTTTAATTTGTACTATTTACAAGACTTTTACAATAGAGACAACAAAGAACTTCTAACAAAATACACATATAATCTGCCCAAACAAAGGCAATGCCAATAAATGGTATAACCAACTATTTATTCTTGTAAATACACTTGAAACAACAAATATCTGTGTTACATGGTGGCTTATCAAAACTGCTAATCGTTGAACTAACATCTCCATCCTAATCCAAACTAACCATTCCTTTAACAGCCAACACCCAAGGAACCACACGCTGCTGTGGAAGAGGCAGAGGCAGTAGACCTTGAGGTAAAATAGAACAATGTCCTACTAAAAATAATGTTAACTCTAACAATTGTATTTGATAAATGCAAATCAGCCCGAGAAAGTAAAGGAGCCACCTCAGCCTGATACTGAGGACCAGGTACGTACAGATGTGAATGTGTATAACCCAGTTATGTTGAATAACCCAAACAGTTGACATTTTGTGGTTGATGTGTTCAGATTGACTGTACAATAGACATACAGGATACAGCAGAGGCACAGCCAGAACCAGTGATAGAACAGGTAAAATGGAGAAAAAAACACAGGCAGATTTCATATATTGCATGAACATTATCTTTTAAATCAGTTTTTTTTCTATCTTGGGAACAAATCTATATCTGTTTGTATGATTATTCAAATGGGCTTCAGACACTGTCTCTCTGTATCCATTCTTGTTTTATATCCATTGAACACATAACAATAGAATATTTTACATTTGTGTTCTGCAGAAGCCTGATGCGTCCAAGGCCTCGACACTGGAGGCAGCTGCCAAACCCGCCCAGGCTCCGGCTGCACAGGAGGAGAAGAAACCAGAGGCCAAGAAGTCTCTGCTCACCTTCTTCAAGCCCAAAGTAAGTCCAGAACATTGGAGTTATTATTATCAGCTAAATATCTTGAAAACTGGCTTTTTCAACTGTTCGTCAGACCACATGCAGTCTTTCTGGTTCTAAGTTTTGTTATTATTCAATTACATTTTTAATTTGAGACAAAACAATTAAAAATACTTACAGAACTATACAGAAATAAAATGTCTTAAGCGTTGGTGGGCTTTTGAATGTAACAGCTTATAAACTTACAAACAAAATATTACATGAAATCTCAATGCTCCAGACATCCACAGAGAAACCACCAAATGTGAACATACGTCCAATAGTTACGTAAGTCAGTTTACCACTTTTGAAACCAATCTTTTTTCCCCATTTGAACCAAATTTGGTCTAGTTAAAGTGAATCAGATCACCAGGGGGTCCCAAGTGAAGCAGAGTTCACTTTTAAGTGAACCTGAATGAGCAAAGACCCTTGAGAGAATAATTGTAAACCTGAAACTGCCTGAAACTGTATCATGGTAATAGTTATACATCAGACATTGATTAGTATTTTTAAGGTAATATTAAGGTTTAACTCATGGACACAGAATATGTAACCACTGCTTCCAGTAGGAACCACATCAATGCAATAACTGCAGTAGAATCATGTTAACCAACATGGATGCAGAGGCTGTGAATGCATGGTGCACAAAAGCTAATCTAAAAAGCACTTCCACAATAGAGTCTGATGTAACATTTGCCCTTGTCGACTTGTTACTCAAATACAATGAGCTAATTTAACGCCCTGACTTGACCTTTGAGGCTTGGTTGGATCGTGTGAGCACCACGGTCCAGGCAGCATCCAGCAGCGGCGTGCAGTTCATCAGGAAAACTACGGGAGCGGTAAACGCACTAACCCGAGTGCTGTGACGCAAGAGCAAAACACTACAAGAATGCTGTGTTTTTGTGCTGACGGTATCATTAATGTGTCTGTTCTTGCTTTATAAATATTTGTTCTCTAACTCATGTCTGGTTTATGTAGCTTTGTCTTTGTTCTTGACACATAAGACAGTTTTAAAAGATAAAAATATATATAATTTGTTATTTTTTTTAAATGTTATATGTGTATTTTGTGTTATATGTGTTAATAGTGATCATCTTTTGCCAAACGGCAGGTGTAATAAATAACAACTGCAAATAAGTTACTGTAATTGATTTTTGTAGTGATCGTAGTGTTTGAGCATTTTTTGTTTTCCATTTTTTTCACCTCGGCCAAACAATGAGCCTGTAATTGAATGTGTGTGATGCACCTCATCTGTCTGCTTTGTTACTAAGATTTAAAAGTCAAACATTTCCCCTTTCTTGTGTCTTTGCAAAAATGATTTTCAATCCAATCCAGATAGATTAGTGATACTGTTTTCTTATGGACGGACCTCTGTATTATCATAGCTTGAGAGTTTTGGCTGTTACTGGTCCATCATCAAACACTGTTGCTGTGACGTGTCTGGTCAGATGTCACTTAGGTGCATCATGATGCACCTAAACAGGCAGCGCTTTTATCACATCGGAAAGAGAATGTGCAACCAAAACATGGACCTGTGCCACCGACCAAGTAACAAAGGCCACAAGATCTATTTAAGGATGACATTTCAAAGGAAGAAACATCTCATGGATTGAGACAAAGCCACAGTCAGAGGCACAAAGAGTAAAAAAATACCATGAGCATCAGGGAGTTTGAGATGATGAAACAGACCAAACAGACTACAAACTGAGACCAAGGGGCATACTCACTGTCTTATACATGAGAAGCGATACTATGAGGAAGAAGTCTGACTGCAGATGGCGCTGTCTGTTAAAATTAGCTGACCATGCGCATCACAGCAGTGTCACACTGCCACCGAAGTGTGACACTTCAGTGGCAGTAGAAACCAAAACGGTCAAGGTATAATAAACAAAGGTTTGTACATAAGAAAAAATTATTGAAGTTACTCAGATGTTTCTTTTGTACCTGAACAGGCAGCTGATCCTAAAGCCACAGCCTCCCCGGCAGCAGCAGCAGCAGAGGCAGCACCAGCTCCAGCTCCAGCTCCGGTCAAAGAGGAAACTCCAAAAGCAGCAAAGTCTACAGAGGCAACCGCTGAGAGCAAACCTGCTGCAGTAACACCTGCTGGAGAAGAGGTTCCACCCAAGAGACTGGAGAAGAGGAACTCCATCACACTGTTCTTCAAAAACCTGGTACAAGTATTACTTAGGTCAGATTAGAACGGAGTTAAACATATTTAACAGCGTTAGCCTAAATAAACAAAGGATAAGTATGAACACTATAGGTCAATACAGTGATACCAAAAATGTTCCAAATGAATGGTATGATTATGGTATGTACTTTATCTGAGCAGGGACAGTGTACAATTAAACATAAACACAAAGGAGAGATGTATTGTACCAGGTTATAGCAAAGATTCTGATTTCCACCTGCAGTCCCTTGGCAGGCTGATGTTATGTTGTTACAGGATGCAATATAATATTGCTTCTTTGGTGTATTCTAATTTGGACAGAGAATGAGAAAATTAATGTTGACATAACAGATCTTTCTTATCTGTTGTCTCATGGGGTCAGGGGACACATTCTGCACCTGATAACTTGATTCCACACATTTCATATGATTATGTGTGCTGTGAGAGCAGGGGAATTGCCAGTAGATGGCAGCAGTAGACGATTCTTAAAACCAGTGGTGCAGTTATTCCCATTGGTCTGCTGATACTGCAGTAATTTGCTACAATCACAAGCTTAATGCATTTGTGTTGTTTTCAGAGTGGGAAGCGTCCGTCGACAGATGCAGGAGCCACAGAGGCTCCAGCTGCTTCAGCTGAGAAGAGCAAGTGAAACATACAAAAATACATCTGGAATATAAAGAGAGAAACGCTGCAGTCTTTACAAAGGCCACAGGCAAAAGTGGAAGCGTGGATGGGAATTGTGATGGAGGAAAGTTAGCAGAATGTTGAACTGCAAGTGTCCAAAGGATTCTGGTTTTGCAGACAATGTTTATCAAACATAATAAGCTTATCATGGGCACATAACTTACATTTACAACTATATAATTTTATTAGCAATAATGTAGAATACTTTTCCAGGGGCTAACAGTTTTTCAGGTGCCTTCTAAACTCTGATATTAAATTGAAAGTTCTACTAGAATTTTCAAGGTAAAAACGAACCAGTTGGCACTATAAACCAGTTAAGTTATTTGCATATGTGTGACGGTCATGCAGCTGTAGAGGTCCTTGTATCAATAAGATCCAACGCTTTTATGGGAACTGATCAAGTAAATACCATCATGCTATGTAATATTTAAGTGGTACAAATCCCGCACCAACTTCATGGTGTGTTCGCAATAATCACAAGTCACTAACTTAATGCACTTTTTGTTATTGTCTTTTTGTATTATCCATTTGTACTGTGTATATTCTCATAACAGCTTTATTTGATTTGCTTTCATACGTGTACAGTAACTTTAATATAATAAATAACGTATCACCTTTTTCAGCCTCAATTTTAAAAAAAAAGATTTGTCAGACTAATTGATGCCAAGAACTAAAGAACAAAACTGTGCAAACTAGTTTCTATTATTTTGTTTATTAGACAAAGGTAATGCTCAAAATGATATGTATGTACAGGGAAATACTGAAGACTGGAGTGATATATTTGTGGTAAACAGTGACCTATGTGGCTCCGACCAAAAAGCAATGGGAAAACATTTCACAATATCACCAAGGCAAAGTATTGCATCATCGCACCCATCCAGTACTCACCAGAAGAGGCTACGTGACTGATGAAGCAAAGATCAGGAAGCATGAGGAGCTGAAGAACTTTGCATTGGAGCGTTATGACATTGCGAAGAAGATTGCCGAAAAATGTGAAGAACAAAAAATGACACGCATCCTTGTCCTGAAGGAGGGCACTCAAGAGGATCAACCATACAAGCAGAGAAAGAAGTCGGTGACGCTGAAAACTCAGGAGGCACATTCTGCAGACCCAGGACGCCTCAGGTCTGGTACCGTGTACAAGGACCTCCATGATGATACGGAGGAGGAGTGTGATGTTGAAGCTACTCAGAGAAGAAGAATTAAAGGAAAAATGCTCATGAGGGAGACCCAGACGCCCCTTCCACGGATAAATGATGAACTTCTGTACCCGGCTTCCGAGCCTGAAGACATGGAAGCATATCACAAGGAGAAGCACAGCTACAAGCAACTGAGCAGGTCACTAAAGGACTTGAGTACCCAGTATTCAACGTCAACTCCATGTTCCCCCCCTCGTTTCAAGAGATCTGCAAGACCAGAATACACACAAGTGGAACGCCCAAAAGCCACAGCCCAATAAGATTTCCCAGAACCAGTTGAACACACAGTGTTGGGTGGCACCCTCTCTATGGTTCCATCCAGAGGCGATCGTGAAGATGTGCAAGAACTAGCGAAACAAGTCAAGACACTGACAGCACTGGTCAGTCATCAAGCACAAAGTGTTCACAACCAAACCTCTGAAGAAGAGGAACATGAAGAAGTGGGGATTCCTCAACTGCGGAAAAAAGAATATGGAGGAAGTCAAAGACCAAGACAATGCAAAACATGAACAAAGAAAAAGAAGAACTCATTTGTTTAATGGACAAAGAACCAAAGCACACCCAAACCAGTCGTGAAATGCATATAAGAAGAGGCATAGAGAACCGACTGAGGACAGGCCACAACCCCTTCCGTCCAGAGACAAGAGACCACTATGTTGCAGGGGAGTTTACCGGCCTGGTTGAAGACCAACAGCATGAGGGAGCCTTCGTGAGTGGGCATGTCAACCCATTTTTTGACCCAAATCACTCACTGCAAGAAGAAGATGAAGCAGGAAGAGCAACAACCTCTCTCTTTCCACTAAGAGAGGCTGCGGGTCGCCAGCAAGTTTATCAGCCATTTGCATTGAAAGACATTGAAGGACTAATGCTGAAATTGCCAAAGCTGACAAAAGGAGCACCTGCATTTATGAGGGCACTGACGACGCACACAGCTGGTGAAATATTGTGCTGGGGAGACGTCTCTTCTATAATCACCAGAAATACTGATGAAGCCACTACCAAGAAAGTACGGGCGGAGCTAACAAAACGCATTGGACCATTCAACCATACCCTGTCCTTTACCACCATGAAAGGACCGCTGCTGTCAATTCTGAGAGAAATGTTTCAAACATGCGTTCCAGAAGAATTACTTTCGCTGAGGATGAAAGAAGATGAAGAGTACTTTGAGTACAAGCGCAGAGCCAAGGCCTTATTCTATGATGCAACTGGTGAAGCAGTGCAACCAGGAACAACAAGTACATTCATCCTGTTCAACACAATGGTCAAAGGAATGCCAAAATCAGTACAACAAAGTCTTTCTCATGTTGTTGGACTGTACACACTGACCGAAGAAGACTTTGATAAGAACTGCAACCATTATGTGACCCTCTATCGAAATGAAAGAGAGAATAATAAAGAAGAAACACAAAAAGTGGAGGTGTCTAACATCAAGCTACAAAACAAGAAACTTAAAGAAGAGGTGGAAGCACAAAAGAGTAAAAACAAGGCCGCAAATGTGATGAAAGTTGGAGTGGACGGATCACAGGTCAATGTTGAGGACAATGACCAGAATCAAAAGGGAAAAGAGCAAGCTGAACAGATGGTGGACGTCGTAAAGCTCCTTATGACACAGATGCCGGCTCAGAGAGGATACAGGGGGAACTCCAGAGGAAGGAGTAGAGGGAGAGGATTTCAAGGACAAAGAGGCAATCGTCAAGATCAATGCTGGATATGCCACCAATATGGACACTGGTCAAGGGATTGTGCCAACATAGGGCGATATGGCCCACCACGGAACCAATTTTTTGGGCAGCATTGACCAAAACAATCATGAAGACAGCACATCTGGTCCAAAACCACCCTCTTGTGGTACACACAAACCATGGGATCCAAGCATACTTGAACTCAAAACTGTTCATCACCACAGCCCAAAGAACTGCCAACATCACTCAGACGCTTCGTCAACCTCACATCACCTATGCCAGCGGAAACATCAACATGGCCATGCATATGATCAATGACTCTGAAAGCAACAGCACGGACCATATCTGTGAAGAACTGGCGAAGACTGAACTATATGTAAGAGCTGATCTTCAATTTGAGCCAATTCCAAATGCTGAAATGACACTCTTCTGCGATGGCTGCTCATACAGAGCGCTGGAGAAACCATCTCATCATACGCTGTCGTCTCACAAAAGGAAAATGGAGAGCACAGAGTATTGGAAGCAAGACAAGTGGAGCAAGGATCTGCTCAAGTGGCTGAACTTACAGGTCTGCTGCGAGCACTACAACTCGCCAGTGGACGGACTGCGAACATCTATATCGACTCGGCATATGCTTACAGGACATTGACAATCTCAATTCCTGGATGGATAAGAAATGGCTTCAAACTGATAAATGGACTGCCGGTAAAACATGAAGTTCTTGTGAGACATCTGATTGATGCAGTGAACCTACCAAGCAAACTGGCCATCATGAAATGCAGAGCACATTCCCCATGAGAGGACATGATCTCCAAAGGAAACCAAGCTGCAGACCAAGCTGCAAAAAAGGCTGCCAACTACATGAAAAGAACAATGATTGTACAACAGAAACCAGAAAAACCCAAAGAAGTTCAAGAAGAAGAGGAAACTCAAAAAGCTCAAGACAAAGAAAAACCCAAAAAAGTTCAAGAAGAAGAGGAAATGCAAAACGCTCAAGAAGACAAAGAACAGACCAAAGAATCAAAGAAGAAGAAGAAGACGACAAAAAATCAAGAGTTGAACACACAATCACATTTAATCGATCTCCAATATGTGAAAGAACTTCAAAACGCAGCTGGGGCATATGAACAACATCAATGGAAACTAAAAGGAGCAACAAAAGGAGAAGAAGGCCTCTGGAGAAACCACGATGGTCGTATTGCGGCACCCGCCGCACTTATACAAATGTTGTTTGAAGAATACCACAGCCCGCTGCACAGAAGCGTCAACTCTATGATTCGTCTCATGGAACCATGGTGGCATCCAAATATGAGAGAAATGCTTCAATATCGAATCAATGGCACTTTCATCATGCCCAATTCGCCCTTTGAAAAAATTGTCATGGACTTTACAGACATGGGTCCTGACAGGCGTGTTAGAGGTTTTCGATATCTTTTAGTCATCGTTTGCGAATATACTAAGTGGGTAGAAGCCTTTCCGTGTCGAACCGAAACCGCGGCAGAAGTTGTAAAACATCTAATGCGTGATGTAATCTGTAGATTCGGCTGCCCTTATCAGATCAGATCTGATAATGGCAGACATTTTACAGCTAAGATTGTGCGTGACGTGTTGAAAACTCTCGGGATTTCACAAAAATTTGGTTGTGTTTACCATCCAAAATCTCAGGGTCAAGTTGAACGCATGAATGCAACCATCAAACGTAAGCTAGCTAAGGTTTGGCAGACTTCAAAACTTGACTGGGTCACTGCTCTTCCTCTTGTGCTGATGGACATCAGGAATAGCGTGAACAAGTCAACAAGTTACTCTCCACACATGTTATTGACTGGGAGAGAAATGCACAGGCCGATTGGTCCACTCAATGCTGAAGCCCCCTTTGTCGAATGGGACTGGATCCACCAGCAATATTTGTCTGAGCTCAGGACAATTGTTTCCCAGTTGTCCGAGTGCAGACGACAAACTAACCAATTGAGACAAACAGATGAGATTGACCCCATTGTTAAACCTGGTGATTGGATATTCATCAAAGTTCAGAATAGATCCATACCAGACAGGACCATATAAAGTGACTAATTGCACAGGGAGGTCTGTTCAGGTCGATCGAGCCGGTGTGAAGTACTGGTACCATCTTGAACACTGCATTCGCAGCCCGAGTGACCAGACGGACCGCACCCTGGCAGAGGTCCAAGATGACGTCGCTCGAAATACAACCTCAACTGATGACCGATCAACCGAGACCCCGGACGCACTCTCAGGGGACCCTGGAGAGTTGGAAAAACGGGGGAAGTAATGTTTTTGTGATTAAAACCCCACCTTTGATGAGTTTTAAATGGAAATATGTACTCATGATGTTTTCTTTTTTGTGTGTGTCCCTAGTTTGCTGGATATCTGTTGAACAACCTGTTGGACACCGCGATTTGCCATACGAGAACCAGCAGACTGAAAAACAAACTGTGACCACAGCTGCAAGCGGGATCACAACTCTTGATCTGCCAAATGCAATAACTTCACAAGGTATGAGACAGAGAGCAGGCAGGAGCATTGGACATTTTAGTCCTGGGGACAGAGCACCAACAGTTAAAATGGTTTGTCAGGTAGGGAAACAATGCACGGTTTTATTAGATTCTTGCCAAATTCACTCATGTTTAAATCCCTGTGACCAAGACAAATGCTGTACGTTTATTCCCAATAATACTGCGCCAGACGGTAGCATCTCCAGAGCCATAAATAACCTTAGACTCTTGTCCGAGGAAGTCACAAAGAACTCAGGAACACAAGATAGCACTTGGATAGCCTGGTTCAATAGTCTATTCGGATCCTTGACCCCCATAATAATGTCAATTTTAAGCACTTGCCTAATTGTGTTCACAGTTTTAATCCTGGGAGGATGTTGTGTAGTTCCATGCCTTAGACATCTGATTGAGCGTTTGATTGCAGCTGCAATTTCCAAACAGTATATTAACACAATGCCGCTGATGAGTGTAAACTACTGTCTAGAAGAAGAGGACGAGATGGAGTCCGATAGTGAGATTTATTAGCTATATGTTCCACTAAGATGCAAATTCAACCGAAATTGTACATAGCTTTGCAAAATAATCATATTAGTGTTTTAAAATAGTATAAGATAATAGCTGTACAGGTGTACAGTGTAAAATCAAAACGTTTAGGTTAATGTAGCAATTAATATTAAGACTTCACATTAGGATGAAGTGAGTAATTAATTTTATATTTGATTCTTAATGCTCAGTCCCGCCTGCTCTATGACTCATATCAGCTTGGTTCTGGTGTCCAATAGAGATTTTTGTTATTGTTTGAATTATAAAATCAGCTAAATTCATGATTATATAGTGAAAGTGATTATTTTTTATTATCATTATTTTTTGTATGTATTTTTTTTTGCAAGTTAAGAATCAGTTATTCACTTTACTTGATTTCATGATTGTAAGTTTTTGTTGATTGATTGATTTATTTTTGTTGTTTTTGTATTTTTATTATCACATGTGTTTATGTGATAAAATGGGAGGGTGTGGTAAACAGTGACCTATGTACTGCACAGGTGGACAAATGCAAGACAAAATAGTATTAATAACCTGGCCTTGTGGAGATCTCAAGGACCACAGAGACTTTCGTTGTTTAGGCTATTTGGTGCCGAAGGTTTGGCCTTTTCTATGATGACGTAGATTTCCATATATAATGTATCTGTGTCTTTTGTTCTGCCTGAAATTAACGACCATTTTGTGAATAAACCAGCCAGGAGGCTTTGTCGTACAAAGATCCCGATTTGCCTGAGTCTGATTCTTATCATATTATATCATATTATTATATAAAAGCATGTGAGAGCAGAGACAGTGTGGAGTAAGACATGTTTTAATGACTGGATGTTGTGCAGAATGCAACTATTTTAAAGCTGTTCCATATCAAACTGAAAAATGCCAGTGACATTGTTGACATAGTGAGATAATACTAGATGTGTACACTTATCACGTTGGCCATGAATTTGCGCTACACATCCAAAGTTACTGATCAGATTAGATCAAAGAAAGCTAAAAATGTCCTTACTAGATTACAGCCACTACTATAAAGCTACAGTATAAGTGAAAGTCATGCGGTGTAAACTATAGAATATTTTTGGACGGTCTCTTGGTGTGGCCTAAAACTGTCACTATTCTAACAAAGAGTGTGTGTGAGTCATAAACCACACCTGGAATGAGAAAATATGTGTCATGTTTTCTCCATTGAAATTAACATCATAGTCAATGCATTATTTAGAAAAAGACAAAACGGATCATAATTTCATTTAGTATAGACTACAGTACTTGCTGATGATGCTGATGTATGTATTCTTATTTTGTTGGGTCTCCCTCGGGGGCACAGCTCCATCAGGTGTTGATCTCCAGAGCTGGTGACGCAGCATTCATTCCTGCTTCAGTGTGTTTATGTGACCCGCAGAGAGCCGACCACAAGGAAATGTAGGGAAACACAGGTGTATTTGATTAGGGCAATAGTCAGAGCAGAGTTCATGGACTTATTATGTCAACTCCATTAAGTTTTAGCAGGGATGGGACACAAGTTTATTGTTGTAAAGTTCTTTGATTATCAAAAGTGTGTTAAATCACCTCATCAGTAAATCATGTTGTTTCTGGTTAAAACAAAATCGTCTGATAATTTTGCTCCATCAGCTTTTGGTTCAGTATTATATTGCAATATGAACCTTGCTGTTTATATTCAAGTGTGTCCTGTATGAAAACAAAAATTACTTTCCCTGAATATTTAGCTGGTGCGGTTTGTATACATGTGCAGTTAACAGTCCTGTATTTCAATACATGAATATATGAATGAATATACTTATATACTAATATAAGTATATATTAGTATATAAGTACTATATACTATTATTATTTTTCTATAAATTTTGTTCCTTTGGGTTTTTATTTTTGAACTAAATTCGAAAAAATACATTGAATACATGTGGCCTACATGGTCACAGGAAATGGAGACTTAAAATGTGCATAGCTGCTACCAGTGTAACTCACAGAATATTGTAAGCACAGGTACAGGTATCCTTGATAAAGGAC